TCCGGATACGGGCAAACATGGCTCGATAACACAAGGGACGCCCCTGCATCTGCCCCAGCATCAGCCGCCGCATCATTTGGACAGCAAGCGGGTCTACGATTTTTACAAAAGTTCACGTTTGAGTCCCGCCCAGGCGCCGCCACCGCCGCCGCAGCAATCGTCGCCGCAGGCACCGCCGCCGCAGGGCTATGGCGTTGGCGTCACTGTTGGTCCACCCTATTCGCGTTCACCGTACAGCGTTGAGCCACCCTCGGTGCTCAGCTCGCGTCAGATTGTGATCAACGATTATCACACGTCGCAACAGATGCAGGGCCAACAGCAACGGAATGTTTCACGTGGCAGCAGCAGTGCTGGCGGCGGTGCTGGTTCCGGTTCCGATAAGGAATCGCCATCGCCAAGGAATAGCGTCAGCGGCGGCTCGGCCGTCTATGCCGGCTACGAGAAGGAGCCACAGCCACGCGGACGTGCCGAATATTCCAGTCGCGCTTCGCCAGCGGATCATTCCAACAGGTGTGTATTGCTTCTTGGACACTGAATGATTTCCAAAAGTGTCTCTCAAATTGTGTGTATTCGAATTAATTATTGAATTTCTTGTCATAACCACATAGCACACCCAGTCCGCATCGAACGCCGCCGCCGCAGCGACAGGGTGTCATCCAGCGTCACAATACCGGCTCGAAGCCGCCATCGCCAGCAGCACCGCCACCGAGTCGCATGCACATTGTCACCCCTTACAATTTTCCGCCAGGTATGTATGCTTTTCCAGCATTATTCTCAGTCTTCTCAAGCGGTCAAATCAATCAAATGTGCGCAGTTTAGTATTGGTACTCGTCGATGGATCTGTCGGCGAACTGTACGCTTTGCAGGACCAAATAGAATTTATTTCTATTGTTTTTTTTTTTGTTTGGTAACTGCCGTGACTTACCAGCATTGACTTTAGTTTGGGTATCTCTTTTATATACTCCATCAGTATCTTGTTGGACTGACTAGCTTTATCTAGACGACATTATCAAGTGTCCCCATTTGATGATGATGATGATGTTGGTCACTTTGGTTTAGTTAGTTTCTTCTTCTCCATTAATCCTATTAATTATCGTCTGGCTACTTTGTAACCCTTTCTTTTCTTTTCTTGATTATTCTTTTTTTTGTATTTTTTTTGTTTTTTTTTTTTTTTGTATTTTTAAACTTTCTACATGTTTGCCATGGTCACATTATTGCAATAGCGTCTTCTTCTTCTTCTTATTACCAAAGTGAGTCATAGATTACGAAAACAAAGCTCACTTCACACTCTCTGAAACAAAGTAATATACATATATACACACATATATATGTATATATTATTTATTTATTTATTTATATTTGTCCAACGTTGTTCTGTGTGTGTTGTTTGGTTGGTTTCTTGCAGAGATTCAGCAAACATATTGTGGTACTTGCATACTGAGATACATGCACCATATATCCCAGCATATATCCCTGCATATAGCTCAGCATATATCCCAGCATATATCCCAGCATCCACTGTACTTTCCCATCTAAATTGCCGTGGCACATCGTCCTCCACGCTGTCTATTTTTGTTCCTTTTTGTTGCATTAGTTTGCTGCTGCTGCTCCAATTATAATAAGTAAATGAGGCAATTCTGTGACTTGTCCGTGTCCACTCAGCTCATTTAAGTTAAGCAACTGAAAGCATTAACCCAACAAGTTGTTCAAATTTGTTTTCACTTTG